TTGTCAATTTGTCATAAAATGTTGGAAAATTTAAACAAATTCTCTTTATGAGGGATATAATTTAAATGAAATAAAAAATAATAATTAGTTATAGCATCTGCTCATAAATTATACCCAAGTCCTCAATTTTTATAGCAAGCGAGCAAGACATTTGTTTAATACTGCCTACAATAAGTTGAATATAAGGTTCTGTTCCAACGTTCGAAATTTCTGGACACGTGATAACGATAATTTTACTTTACTATCTAACAGGAAAATATTTATCATGTTATTCTTGAATAAATTCAAGACCAACAGGAAAATATTTGCAGTCGAGATTATTTACAAGTCAGTTAATTATAAAATAATGAACGTAAATAATTTAGATATCTACTTTAATGAAACATCCTTATGTATCAAGCGTCCATGGAACGTAAACAAATTCTATATATAATAATGTGCTCCGCTATTATGATCGGTTTTTTTATACCACCGATCTCAAAACAATACGACAAGACTTCGTATACGACTAAATGACTCTGTTCATACATTTTTCGAAATGCAATTTTCGTTTACAAAGTATTTGCTGCAGGGACTGATTTATGAGTTGTTTAAAGCTGTCACATTACGAGAACCTGTACGTTTCACAGCCGACAAAGTTAATTCAGATGTTAGTAAGAAATTGAACTTTGTGTTAATGTGTTGAAAGTTTATCACGTTGATATTATTATATATAGAATTTGTTTATGTTCCATGGATACTTGATACATAAGGATGTTTCATTAAAGTAGATATCTAAATTATTTACGTTCATTATTTTATAATTAACTGATTTGTAAATACTTTCGACTGCAAATATTTTCCTGTTGAACTTGAATTCATTCAAGAATAACATGATAAATATTTTCCTGTTAGATAGTAAAGTAAAATTATCGTTATCACGTGTCCAGAAATTTCGAACGTTGGAACAAAACCTTATATTCAGCTTATTGTAGGCAGTATTAAACAAGTGTCTTGCTCGCTTGCTATAACAATTGAGGACTTGGGTACAAGTTATGAGCAGATGTTATAAATAATTCTTATTTGTAATACTCATTTTTTATTTCATTTAAATTATTTTAAATTATTTTAAATTTAAATTATTTTCGCAAAATGCCAACAAAACAAACATCATTGTCCAAAGAGGAATTTAATAATTATTTTATTCATTCAAATTATTTTCGCACAATGCCAACAAAACACATAACATCATTGTCCAAAGAGGAATTTAATAATTTCATGGAATCAATTGACGTGATTTTATCAGATTGTGATGGTAAGTAATTATTTTCGTCTTTTTTTTAATATATTGAAAATAATTGAAAATGTAAGTGACAATTTTTTACCATCTCAGCATATTGTACTTCTAATATTGAAGTATATAACTCAGAAATTGATAAAATATTTGAATAATTTTATATAAAATTTGATAAATGGTGTTTTAATCTCAGTAAACCTTAGGTGTACTATGGAAGGAAACAGAAGTAATACAGTATTCACCTGAGGCAGTAAATAAATTCAAACAATTGGGTAAAAAATTTTTCTATGTAACAAATAGTAATACCAAAACCAGGTCTGAATTTATAGAAAAATGTAAAAATTTTAACTATGATGCAACACTGGTAAATTTAATAGATACATTTTTTTGAATTAATAATAAGTTAATGTCAATCATATAAAATAATTTCTTTATCACTGTTTCAGGATGAAATAGTATGCTCTTCATTTTTAGCTGCTATGTATTTGAAAGAAAAAAAATTTGATAAAAAAGCATATGTAGTTGGTAGTATTGGTTTGACTAAAGAGCTTGAAGCAGAAAATATTAAACATTGTGGCATAGGAGTAAGTTTTTAGTTTTTAGTTTTTATAGATTTTGGAATGATTTATTTTACTATAAATTTACTGTAAAATATTTGTATTTTGTTTAGCCCGATGCCATGGATGGCGATGAAGTGGAATTGATAACAAATTTTAAGCCAGATCCAGAAGTTGGGGCAGTTATTGTAGGATTTGACAAGTATTTCAGTTTTCCTAAGCTTGCGAAAGCTACTACTTATTTACAAGACACAAATGTTGATTTTATTGGAACAAATTGTGATACAGAAAGACCTTCTCCAAATGGCAATAAATTTCCAGGTTAGAGAAATATTTGCTTGAAACTATTTATCAGATTTTTCTCCATAAGTTTTAAAGTGTATACTGTTTATAAAGTTTATGGAATTAGATTATATTTGCATTTTATATTACAGGAACTGGATGCTTTATAAAATGTATAGAGTCAGCATGTAATAGGGCACCCGTGATGCTTGGAAAACCAGAATCTTTTCTAATTGAATATATAATAAGGAAGTATGGTTTAAATCCTGCAAGGACACTTATGATTGGTGACAAGTAAATAGTGTTATTGTGACAATAATGTGCTTTTTTTTATTTATTACGTTATTAAAAAATATTATTTTATTTCAGTTGCTCGACTGATATTCTTTTTGGAAAAAAATGTGGTTTTAAAACTTTATTGGTATTGACGGGTATTACAACAAAAAATGAAGTAGATGCTATGAATACACCTACAGCAGATTCTAAAAATTTGATAGTTCCAGATTATTATGCAGATGAATTGGGTGATGTACTAAAAATGATTACGTCATCTTGATAATTTTGAGAAAGAGTTTCAGATCATTTCAATACCAGTTTTAGATCATTTCAATATTATTTCAAGTAATTTTTTATTGTATGGAAATAGGATAAATTATGGTTTCTCATTTTATAATTATTTATGGTGATTAGTATAATTACTGAGTACTATTTATTTAACATAACATTTATGAAATGTTCAAATATTGATTTATTTTATACATGTTAATTGGTTTGTTTTTTGTTGAATCTATTGAATGTTACTTTTTAAAATATGAAACTGTTTAATTATACACAGTTTACGCACAACAAAATATCACAGTATTCATTATACTAATTAACTGTTTAACTTATTTAAAAATAATAATTCTCTTTATTAAATACAAAATGACATAGTACAAATATAACTTCCTGAATTAATTTCATATTCTGTATTTATATTAATATTTATTTTTTATAACTGTCTCTGAAAGAAATTAAAAATTTATCAAAGAGTAAAAATATATAGAAGTTCAATGTTAACAATAGAAATATTAGCCAACAGCTACTTTTGTATTTAAATATTTTTGTAATGTTGTAATAATAGCATATATAGTTCCTGCAGTTTATTAACCATTACATAAATTAAGGTATAGACCATTATCTAATTTAACAATGTGACTTTATTTGAGGTAATTATTTATTCGTAGATGTACATGATGATAAGAATAAATGTTAAATCATATGTTCATATTGTACATCTTTTCAATAAACAAAATACATACCAAACACAATGTCTACTGTTATATAAAAAGAAAATGTTTGTAAGTTTGATTGTTTGCACCTGACAGTCTCAATAAGTGCTACACTGAATTTGACCAAACTTCTGTTTTTTATTTCCTTATAATTTGTAGTCGATTGTAAACTATGTCATTCCACTTTTTTCTTATTACAATTATTGAAGCAACCGATCATTAATGAAATTTTGTTTGTCGATAATATGTTATTACGGAGTCGGGCTTTATGAAGAATGTTTTCTATCAAATTTCTGCAATTTTTCCTACAATGAAATAGGAACGATTAACAAAATATCAAAATTATGATAAATAGTAAAATTGCGTATTATTAATGTCTAAAGAAATCAAGAGTTTAAGCTATGTACCCTATTTCAAAATAGAATAAGAATAAGATTATTATTGTAACCAAAAGAGGAAACAGATGTATCAGTAATAAACTGAATATTATACTTTTTTTATTTTTCACCCTTAAAAAATCATGAAATGATGAAAAATGTAAAAAAATATCATTTCCCATGTGAATGAATGAGAGAGTGTGTGTATGTATGGATATACATATATATCTTGGACTATTTTTGGGTTTATCCCACTCTAAGGACCAAGATTTAGAATTAAAAATTTAATTGATGTCTCATCTGACTTGCTATCTTGAATATCATGCTTATTTTTTATGATAGAAGAAAATGTGAAAGGAAAACATTATTTTTTTAAACGGGCAAATATTACAATGGTTAGGAAATTTTTCTCAAGGTCATATTTTTCGAGATTTTTAAGTAACTGAAGTTTCTTAAAACGAAACAATATATTTTCATCGTTATGGAATGGTAATTGAGATCAAGACGAATCTAATGACCTTTAATACTACGATTCATGTAATCTTGAAAAATAAAAACTACATAAAAACTAGATAACTGATTTGTCTAGTGTAGGCGAAGTGTACATTTGAAATGTTGTACTTTGGATTTTAGAAGGGTCATTCCATGCCAAATCGATCACTTTTGGAAGTCAGCATCTCCGATTTTACTCTAATCGAAATATGTTATAGTCCACATGAAATTAAGAAGGGTTTAAGTCATCATTTTGCCGGTTTCGATTTTGTAAAGGAATGACAAGCCTTCAAAGTTTGCAATTTTTGCCCATTTTGGCGAAAATAGGGTTCACTTAGGAATTTTTTTCTCAGAAACTACTTAACCGATTTAGCTAATTTTTTTTTTTTTTTTGTTTTATTCATGAGGAATTGGGCTATCTTGAAATATTTTTTTTAACTTTGTCAATTTGTCATAAAATGTTGGAAAATTTAAACAAATTCTCTTTTTGCGTTTTTCTCTATGAGGGGCGTAAAGGGTTAAAATTTTAAAAAAATATTGTCAATTTCTTTGAAGCTTCCCCTTTAAAATGAGCTGTTCAGAACGATGGAGCCTCGAAAATTGACGTCTCTACAAGCTGGAAAAGGACGCGGGGTACCCCCGTTTCAGGTAGGCGAGTCGTGTGCTCCGCTATTATGATCGGTTTTTTTATACCACCGATTTCAAAACAAAACGACAAGATTTCGTATACGACTAAATGTATTTAATACACTACCTAACGAGTAAATAGGTTTCATTCATATCTGTGACGTAATTGTATGATTGAATGAAATAGAAATTATTTTATACTTTTTAGTGCATTTCGAAGTCGGTGTATTTTTTTTCTTAAAATTATTTTATTGCACTATTTTAATCATAGTAAAGTATATGCCAAATCAAAAAAACACAAGTCTAAAGCGTGGGGCGTATGCGCTTCCGTGCATCGAATACTGCCACCAGTATGCGCCCATAACGCGGAACAAATAGAATATCTGACTCGGGCCCCATATTTTTATAGAGGCACCTATGGACACTTGAATTCTTTTCTTAAATAAATTAGTATAAAAAATGTAAAATAATACAATTTCCAGATTATTACGTATAGAAATCAATCGTGCACCGAACGGAAGGTAGAAAATGTACATATAACTTCAACGACAGTAATATATTTTCCACAAGCGAAATTAAAAATTCCAATTTATCCGTATTTTTTCTTTCGGCCCATAATTTATTTATGTGAAATTTGATCAAAATGGTACAACGTTTTCTTACAAAAATCTGCAAAATAATGTTAATTTTTAACATATTTTTTAAACAAATCATTTTTTCGACAACTCACTTACGCCATATTATTGGTCTTCGAAAATAGAAAAATTTGCATTTTGAACTTTTTCTGAATGCGTTAATACACATCTTTTTATAGAAAATAATTTAAATGAAACAAAAAATGAGTATTACAAATAATAATTATTTGTAACATCTGCTCATAAATTATACCCAAGTCCTCAATTGTTACAGTAAGCGAGCAAGACATTTGTTTAATACTGCCTACAATAAGTTGAACATAAGGTCCTGTTTCAACGTTCGAAATTTCTGGACACGTGATAACGATAATTTTACTTTACTATCTAACAGGAAAATATTTATCATGTTATTCTTGAATGAATTCAAGTCCAACAGGAAAATATTTGCAGTCGAGAGAATTTACAAATCAGTTAATTATAAAATAATGAACGTAAATAATTTAGATATCTACTTTAATGAAACATCCTTATGTATCAAGTATCCATGGAACATAAACAAATTCTATATATAATAATATCAACGTGATAAACTTTCAACACATTAACACAAAGTTCAATTTCTTACTAACATCTGAATTAACTTTGTCGGCTGTGAAACGTACAGGTTCTCGTAATGTGACAGCTTTAAACAACTCATAAATCAGTCCCTGCAGCAAATACTTTGTAAACGAAAATTGCATTTCGAAAAATGTATGAACAGAGTCATTTAGTCGTATACGAAGTCTTGTCGTATTGTTTTGAGATCGGTGGTATAAAAAAACCGATCATAATAGCGGAGCACA